CGAAGGCCGCGTCTGGGAGAGCCGGGGGGCGTGGAGCGTGGGGGGCGGTGGCGACTCGTGGGGACCCAGCAGCAGGGCCGGCTCCGCCCCGCCCTTGGAGGACCTTGCGTTCCCTGCCCTCCCTCCCTCGGGCCTTGGGGACAGCAGTCCTAGACCTTCAACTGCAGTTTCGTTAGGATTTCCCGGAAAAATGGAATCTGGCAGTTTGTCTTAAGAATTATTTTTGAGAAAATGTTTATTAGTATATCTGACGGTTCCGGAGTCGGGCTAAACGACGTCTTTCTCAGCCACCGTCGCTTGCACCAACATTTGTGGTGTGAACCGGTGCGGCTGTGGTTGAGAGCTGGCCCTCGGGGACAGCGCCTGCGACCTGACACTTAAGGCTGGTGCGAGCTGGGCCAGGGCGCTTCGTCTCCAGGTGGCCGCGTTTCCTCCCGAACCCGAGTCTGTAATACACAGGACAGCACAGTAGCAGCTCTGAGGACGTGGTGCGCGAAGATTCGGTGACACGGGAAGCGCTGAGCTCTGTGACCCGAAGTCGCAAGCACTCAAGGTGCCACTCGTTGTATCAAAATAGCAGTTTTCTCTGTGCTTTAAGGTGCCGCTGTGAAGTCTTCCTCCTGTTGACTTCTGTGGAAACGCAGTAGGGCTTGCTCCGGGATTCCTGTGCTGTCCCATACTCGGAGTGCAAGGGGCAGGCACGTGCAGCGGCTCGCCGCTCGCGTGTGCAAGGAAAGGCCTGCGTTTCCGCAGAGGAAACTCGCGAATGGGAGAAAAGCTTGACAGAGGTGGTGTCACGAGGCTTCTCTGTTCCTTGAGGCCGAGCTCAGGGGCACTGAGTCGACTGCAGGGTGACCGGCTGGTACTTTATTCTTGACCTTCATCGAGAGTAAGAGAAATCTCACTATACAATTTCCTTGACAGGATATTGAAGGATGTTTGTCCCAAGATCTCTCAAGGTCAAGCGGAGTGCCCTCGAGGACGGCAAAAGCTGTGCGGCTAAGAAGACAAAACCGGAAGCGGAAGGCCCGTGCGGTGACGGCGCGGGTGACCCAGTGGGCGCTGTAGTGACGGAGGGAGCCGCACCTGCGGACGGGCACAGCGCGGGATCGCGGGGCCCGCTGGCCGAGGCCCGTTCGGAGGACAGCCCTCTCCCCGAGGAGCCTGTTAAGTCGTTTTCCAAAACGCAGCGCTGCGCAGAGCCCGGGGAGCCCGTGTGCGTGGTCTGTGGCCGGTTCGGGGAGTACATCTGCGACAAGACGGACGCGGACGTGTGCAGCCTGGAGTGCAAAGCCAAACACCTCCTGCGGTCCGGGTCCGGGGAGAAGGAGCAGGAAGCCGGCGCCCCGCCCCCTGCGCCCTACGCCTACAGAGAGCACCCCTTCATCTCCGGCCTTCACGAGGACCAGGTGGAGAATCTTAAGCGGCAGCTAGGGATTTCAGTTCAAGGGCAAGATGTGGCCAGGCCCATCGTGGACTTCGAGCACTGCGGTTTCCCCGAGGCCTTACACGCCAACCTGAAGCAGTCCGGCTACGAGGTCCCCACCCCCATCCAGATGCAGATGACGCCCGTGGGGCTCCTGGGACGGGACATTCTGGCCAGCGCTGACACCGGCTCCGGAAAAACGGCCGCTTTTCTCCTTCCCGTCATCATCCGAGCTCTCTTCGAGGTAAGGTAGGGTCCACACGGTCTCTCTCAGAAACGCGTGCCGGTTACCAGGTTTCAAACTCAACATGTTAAAGTTGCAAACGGAAACAGTATTTAGAATTGAGTAGCGTGTCTGAAAAACACAGTTTTAGGGGATTTTCCTTTTATCGAACCAAATAGCTTCATCGCAGGTCTCGAAAATGACTTTCCTTACAAGATGTTTTCTAACTTTTTGCTTAAAGGAGTAAGCTTTCCGTTGGAACGGGCGTGTAATCTTGCTGACCTGATGAGCTGCAGTGCTTTATGTCAATTCAGCCTTTGGGTTTGATGTTTTTAAAAACTGACACCAAAGTCAGAAGACTATAGGAGAGTTTCAAATACTCCCTTAAATCCACAGATCATCTTAAAATAATGCTGCCTTACCTTTCTCATCCGTTTATAGTGTCTAAAGCACCCTACCCTTAGTTTAGCACCCATGCCGACTACTTACGTGAAGTGTGAAGTCTGACGAGGAGCAAAAAGTGTAGGCAAAGAGAAGGAATTAAGGCATGCAGTTCTGGAAAGTGGGAGATGAGGTGGGAAGTCCGTGAGAGAGAGAGCTAGCTGTCCAGGAGGAGGTGAAGTACGTCGGAGGGATGTGCGCCTGAGTTGGCTCTTTGGAAGAGGAAGGCGGCGACGCCGGCCAGGAGGGGAGGCGGGAGAAGGCCCGGCTTGGCCAGCTCTTCAGGCAGCTCGAGGAGATGGCTGGAGACCCCAGAGGCCGAGTGACCAGGAGCGAACCTCCACGTTCCTTCCCACCCTGGCCATTGCAGACACCTCTCCCTGGCCGCGACGTTTAGCTTTCATTGTATATCTGTGTTATGCGAGACCTGAGTTCCGTGTATGGTGCGTTTTGGAGACAAAATCTGCAGTGAGCAGAAGGCACGAAGCCTCACTTCTAGGTGGGCCGATGGGAACATGTTAAAAGGGAAACGCGCCTGAATTCACCTTGAAGATGTAGCCCAGGGGTCCCCACCCCCCGGGGCCGCAGACTGGTACTGGTCCGTGGCCTGTTAGGAACCAGGCCGCACAGCAGGAGGTGAGCAGCTAGCGAAGCCTCATCTGTATTTGCAGCCGCTCCCCGGCGGCCGCTCCCCGGCGCCCGCATCTCGCCTCAGCTCCGCCTCAGATCCTCAGGCCTTAGATCTCATAGGAGCGCCGGTCCCTGGTGCCCACAGGTTGGGGACCGCGGGTGCAGTCCGTGTGCACTGGTGGCCCGCGGGTGTTTGCAGACTCGTTTTCTTGTCTTTGCAGAGTGCGGCTCCGTGCGCAGTCATTCTGACCCCCACGAGAGAGCTGGCCATCCAGATAGAGGGACAGGCCAAAGAGCTGATGAAGGGCCTGCCCGGCATGAAGACCGCGCTGCTGGTGGGGGGCCTGCCCCTGCCCCCGCAGCTGCACCGTTTGCGACAGCGCGTGAAGGTGGGCCCGGCTGCGTGGCGTGCCTTAGGGAAGCGGAGCGGGACCTCATTTGTTCCTTGAGGAAGTTTTGCACGTGGTTGCAGGCGCCCTTTAAGTTCCTGCCCAGTGTCATTTTTTAAAGTGTCTCTCACGTAGGAGAGGAACACACGCACTGAGTGTCTGTCGTTTGCCAGACATGTTGGATGTTCTCGCGTGCTCCGTGACGTTCAGTTGTCACACCTGCTCCTGGAGCCGGGTTAGCACATCCCCTCCCTTGCGGTTGAGAAGGCCACCCTCAGGAAAGTGGGGTGCAGCTAGGGAGCGGTGCCCAGAGTGACTCCTGCAGCGAGGGTGGCGTCCTGCGCGGCCAGGCCCGCCACGTGACCTGGACGCCGACCTCGGCACAGCCGGGTCGACGTCACTGTCGCCTGGGGCTCCGATCCGTGCGTGTTCTGCTGATTGTCCCGTCAAATCGTACAGCTCAAGAATCCGGTTCGGAATCACGCTCAGTGATCTTGTCTCTTCCGTCTGCAGCTAGGAGCAGCTCTTCAGTCCGCCTCTTTAAAAAGTTTTGATCTGGATACTTTCAGATAAAAATGACATAGGCCCGGAGGGGTTTAGGGATCGGTACTTGCCGACAGAGCCGGTGGTGGTCAGCTGCTCGCGGTTCTGTCCCGGTCTGGTCCTGCCGCGCGTCGGCCTCACCCTGGGCCCCTCCGCGCCTCCCTCCACCCGGAAGCCTCAGCGCCGAGCCCTCCGCACCTGTCCAGGGCTCACTGGGTCCCAGCTCAGGTGTCGGCTGGTCCTGGACAGGTGCTCCGCGTCCTGCTTCCTGCGCTGGCGTCAGGAGCAGTTAGTTATTCGTCTGATCGGCTCCTCCCTTTGTATCGTGCGCTTCGCGAGAGCAGAGCTTGGGGGATGTAGCCGTCGTCGAATTCGGGGTGCCTGCCACAGCGTCTGGCGCGTGTTAGCCGCTCGGCAAGGACGGAGAGGAGGGTCAGTACCTAACGCTTTATCTGCTTCTCCTGTTATTAGGTTGTCATAGCGACCCCGGGGCGCCTCCTGGACATCCTGAGGCAGCGCTCCGCGGACCTCCGCGGCGTGAGGATCGTGGTGGTAGATGAGGTGAGGCCGCGCTTGGAGGCGTGAGTGACGTGACTCTGCATCACGCGGGAAAAGCATCTCCTAGTCACCTGATCTCACTGGGTACTCAGGCATTCTCTGCCCCAAACGACAAGCATGGGGTCTGTCTGGGTCGCAGCGGGTCCCCAGGCCGTCCCCGAGTGAACCGGAGTTACAGTGCCGGTGCCGAGGAGAAGCCACAGCTGTCTGTCCCTGCTCGACGGGACAGAGTCACTGGGCACCGTGCGCTCAGCGATGAGGCCGTTAAACATGCCGGAGACCATCACTCCACAAACACAGAGGGCCCGGAGGGGAGGCAGAGGGACAGGATGTGGTGTGGGGGACCGTGACACTTTCTACGTGACACTTTCTGTGCTTAGAGTGGTGATGTGGGGAGGTCATTCTGCTGCCGGAGAAATGAAAGGAGTTGGCGGACGAGCCCAGATGAGAGGTGACAAGGGTCCGGGACAGGGCGCAGGTGGTAGGTGTCGAGGGCAACATCTGCGGGTCTCTGTCGTTCCTTTATGATTCTTGCTGTGAGGGACAGTGTGAGAGAGAGACGGTGGCAGAGGTGACTCCGCGAGCTGTAGGCGTCTGTGGCTGGTGAAGGGGCAGTGGGCCGGGGTGGCGCTTGGTCAGACGCCCGCGTTTGCTTCGGAAGCACTGACTTTCGTGTGAGCGGCGACAGAGGGGAAGGCGGATCGAGGAGGCGGGCGCTGGAGTCGGTGGGACGTGCTGGTTTCTCTCGGGGAGGGGCTGGAGCATCGGAGCTGGCGCTGAGGGCCGGCAGAGCCGAAGGTGAGTCAGTGCACAGAGAAGTCACCTGAGACAAGGAGGGGCTGAGAACGAACAGTCCCCGAAGAAGAGAGAAGCCACTGTTTGTAGAGCGGCCACCGTCTAGGGACTGACCGGAAACGGGGTTCTGGAAAGGCACTCCGTTCAGTGACGGGAGCAGAATGAGCGTGTGACGGCAGCTGGTCACTGTGTCGCACACTGTGATCTAAACACGTAACATTCCGGGTACACGGATCCTGCTACTTCCGGCCCACCCGTCTGTTTCCTTTCCTGACCCCGGGCTCTGTAAAGGCGGGGTCTCTTCATGTGTCTGAACCCCGAGCCACACCGTTGCGCTCGGTGCTCATGATGTGGGCTTGGAGCCAGCGCGTGGCCCGCGGCCCAGCTCGCCGTTCGCCGACCACTGTGTCTGTCGTGTGTCTGCGTTTCCTCGTCTGTGAGACCGGGGTCGTAATGGTGCCGCCTCACGAGTGTCAGGGCGCGTGCGGGTGCCTGCCGCGTAGGCAACGCTCAGAACGCGAGCCGCCAGCTGCTCTGAGCTGCTCGGGGGCGGCCTGGTGACTGGACGTTTAGCCCCGGGCCCCTCGGCAGGAATTTTCGGCCACAGAGAGGGACGTCACGTTGTCAGGGACGCTGGACTCCGTGAGCTGTGGAGACATGCGGGCAGCACTAGGAGTGGAGCACGTCCCAGAAAAGCTCGACGACGTTTTTATTATTGTCAGGGGACACCTGTTTTTACCTGTGGCCCGTTTACTTCTCACATATCCAAGTCACGTGTCATCGTAAGCATGCAGCTGGTTACGCGGTATACACTGTTACACGAGCATAACTTTTTCCCAGGTGATCTCTTTTCTTTTGACATTGGGGTGTGTTTTCTGTGTAAGCGTTTTTAATTTTTATGTTCCTGATTCTGTCACCCTTGCCTGGGTGGTTCTGGGCCGTTCCGTCCAGAACTGACTTTAAGATGATCTGATTTCAGGCCGACACCATGCTGAAGATGGGCTTTCAACAGCAAGTGCTGGACGTTTTGGAGAACGTTCCCGCCGACTGTCAGACCGTCTTGGTGTCAGCTACGGTTCCAGCCAGCATCGAACAGCTCGCCGCCCGGCTGCTGCGGGACCCCGTGAGAATCGCCGCGGGCGAGAAGAACCTGCCGTGCTCTAGCGTGCGGCAGATCGTCCTGTGGGTAGAAGAACCTGCCAAGAAGAAGAAGCTGTTCGAGATCCTGAATGTGAGCAGCGCCCGTCGCCCCCACCGCGTGGATCTCAGAGCGAAGTTTAGATGCAGCTTCGGGGGGCTTCGGTGTCAATATACTGTTAAATACCTACCTACCTCAATTCTGTGGGAATCAAACACATTTTTATTTGTGAAAAACGTGCTGTATAGTTGGATGCAGAGTTGGTTTTTTTTTCCTTATCACAGAAAGTCTTTTAAACGTCAAGATTATTTCTCAAGAATATTTTATTTTTGTTACAAAGATTGTTAGCAGTCTTATATACAAGGGGAGATAAGGTGTTTCTTGGCTATTCTCTCTTGAGAAATAGAATTTTTAGCAATAACTAAGTCTGTCAAGTGGGTGATGCATGCCGCACGGTCCCTGAGAAACAGTATTAAGGTAACGCGGGTCGCGTTGGCCTGCGAACGGTATTTAAAAATTTCTAATTATTTTTTCAATAGTAATGAAGCGAAGCGGAAATGCGAGGGGCAGGAGACCCACTTCTGCTTGTGCCTGTTCTAAAGGAAACCCTCATCTGAACAGAATATGCCTTTTCCTCCTTGACAACGTGTATCCACCTGTTGGTGGCCAGCGACAGTCCTGCTCTCAGAAAAACTTCCTGTTGTAAATTACGTCCCAGGCGTCGTTTAAACGCGCGTCTTTGATTTTTCAGGACAAGAAGCTCTTCAAGCCGCCGGTGCTGGTGTTCGTGGACTGCCGGCTGGGCGCCGACCTGCTGAGCGAGGCCGTGCAGAAGGTCACGGGCCTGCGCAGCGCCGCCGTGCACGCGGAGAAGCCGCAGGCCGAGAGGACGTGCGTGCTGGAGGTCTGGCCCGCGCCCTCTGCTCCCGCCTCGGCCCGTTACCCCGTTTCGCCTCCCTGTTGAGAGAGACGGGGTAGCAGCTGGCGTCTAGGGCAGACCTCTGCTGACGACTCATGGCTGAGGCGAGCGGCAGCCGAGGTGGACCGTTCTTCGCTCGGGCGTCCGCGTCTGGGGACCAGCCCGCTGGACCCCAGGGATAGTCACGCGGAAGCCGGGGCAGAGCGTGGTTCGCCCGGGGGAGAGCTGTGCCCGAGTCGGTCACGAGAGACCACCCAACGGGTAGAGGAGGGACTTGGGCTGACTGCTCACGGGAGGCCCCTAGGTCGGGGCCCACAGGGGACAGGGACGACGCTGGGTATACGGATGGTCCCGGACGCACTCTGACCTGTCAACCCTGTGGCTTTTTTGGAAAGGGCTTGCTGGACGGGGGCTACGAGGTGGTCGTGAGCACGGGCGTGCTGGGGCGAGGCCTGGACCTGGTCAGTGTCACGCTGGTGGTCAATTTCGACATGCCTTCAAGTATGGACGAGTACGTGCACCAGGTAAAGAGCTTTGGGGCCCCCGCCACCCTGACGGGGAGCAGAAGAAACCAAAAACCTGTCGCAATGGACAGGAAATGGTAATTTTTGTTTTTTTAAAAAAAAACATATATATATATGTGTGTGTATATATACATAGAAACTAATTTTTAGAAAACTATACATGTGCCTAAAATGCATTAACCTAAAATGTTAGTTTAAAAATTTCTTTAAGTCATTGGCTTTCGGTTCCTTTGAATTTCCTTTTTATTTCTTATTTTCTTCAAGGGGCATATTAAATGACTTTTATAATCAGAAAAGGAAGGACTTTGTTTGACGTTAACAAACGTGGCCCAAATGAAATGGATCCGTGGCAGCGTTTGCTTTTAGGACGCGTCTTCATCGCTCTTCACAGCCTCGTCCGTCCCGTCTGTCGCTTTTTAAAGTTTTGTTTCTTCCTTTGCTGCCGCAGATAACAGGGCTCTGTTTTCCAGCAGAAACGGAGCCTCCCTCAGCGCCCTGCTGCCTTCCTCTCCCGCGTCGCCTTCCTCTGAGGCTCCCGGCGCCACCCTGGGTGCCAGGCGCCGGGGCCACCCACCGAGACGACTCGTGCCCTGCCCTGTGTTTCAGCTTAGACTTAGTAACCCGGCTGTGCTCTTCCCGCCTCCCTCTCCCTTCCTCCCTCCCTCCCCTCC